AGTTGTAGGGGGCTCTGAATTGATCATGAACAGGAGAATTATGGCTGCTTATTGCCAAAATGACATTACTAGGACAAGTGTGAAATCTGAACAGTCTTCAGATTTGATAAATTGAATATAGTGTTAATAGGTAACACTCTTGTATTTGTCCTGTGGCCAAGCCCTGTTCTTAGGAAACAGACCCAGAGTGTTGGGAAATGACTGGTGGTCTGCAACCTGCTCTCAAGTGGTTCTGAAAAGAGAGCACAATCTTAGAGAGGATAAGACAGGCTAAGAAAAATAGCAACAGTTGGGGAGTGGGAAAAGCCTTTGTTTTAGTGTGTGTGTTTGACTGACATGTGACTGACATGAAAAGTGATGGAAGAGAAAGAAAAGTCAGTATCCTGAAAGCAAAAAAGGTTGGGTGGCAGCCTGCAGCTCAGGAGAGACTAGATGGGAACAGCCCTCACATGTCCCGACAGAGCGACAACCCAGCAATCATGACATTAGTGGGGCAAGAGGGGAGATGCAAATAACAGCAGCACATCCATCTAGTGGAGCTGGTGTACTGCTTGTGTCACATGAAGGCTTGCAGCAGAATGTCTTTACTCTCTGGAGACTCACGCTAGACTTTGGGCAAAGGGTCAAGATGTCCACAACTCTCATGAGGTTTGGCAAAAATGTATTTACAGAGGCGAGAGTGAGGGGAGGGAGGGAGTGCCTAAAGACTCTAAACAGCCTGGATTGCACAGGGGTTCTGTCATGGACAGATTGAGGGGGCCTGGGTCCATGGGCAGGGAAAGGGTGACTGGGCTGTGACCCTTCCTTAGCCCTCAGGCCTCTCCCCCATCTCTTAGCTTCTCTTGCTCTCTAGCCACTAGAGGTTTCTGTGTGACCCTATAGAAGGTGGTGTTTCAAGAGTCTCGAAGTGTGTAAGTGGTGAAGTAAGCCCCCAGTGGTTCTCTTCCACCCCTGCTCTGGTTCCTGCTCTGCCCGAGGCGGTTTTTTTTCTGGAATGCACACCCTCTGGTGTTTCCCAGGGATCATCAGCCCTCCTGGCCCTCTTCCCTGATCATAGTCCATTAGGCGGTCTCTCTGCTGCTCTCCAATGGTCACTGCCTGTAACTGCCTGTAGCCTCCTCCAGGGTCCCAGAAAAGTTCAGGTCTCTGCTGCCCTCCGGTGGCCACCGCCTGTAACTGCGCCGTCCTCCTCAAGGGTCTTAGAAAGGTTTGGGTCTCTGCTGCCCTCCGGTGGCCACCGCCTGTAATTACACCATCCTCCTGCAGGGTCTCTGAAAAGTTCAGGTCTCTGCTGCCCTCCAGTGGCCACCACCTATAACTGCATCCTCCTCCTCTAGGGCCCAGAAAAAGTTCAGGTGTTTGCTGCCCTCCGGTGGCCACCGCCTGTAATCGCACCATCCTCCTGCAGGGTCTCTGAAAAGTTTCAGGTCTCTGCTGCCCTCCGGTGGCCAACGACCTGTAACTGCATCACCCTCCTGCAGGTATCAGCAGCATTCAGGTCTCTGCTGCCCTCCGGTGGCAATGCCTGTAACTGCACCACTGTCCTCCAGGGTCTTAGAAAATTTTGGGTCTCTCCTGCCCTCTGGTGGCCACAGCCTATAACTTCACCCCCCTTCTGCAGGGCCTTAGAATGGTTTGTGCTCTGCTGCCTCTCTGGTGGCCACCACCTGTACTGCCTACACCCTCCTGCAGGGTCTTAGAAAAGTTGAGGTCTCTGCTGCCTTCTGGTGGTCACTGCCTGTAACAGCACTGCTTTCCTCCAGGGCCTTTGAGGGGGTGCTGGTGCCACTGCCTGTAACTGCATCGCCCTCCACTGGGGTCTTAGAAAGGTTCAGATCTCTACTGCCTTCCAGTGGCTTCTGCCTGTAACTGCCTGTGCCATCCTCTAGTGGCTTGGAACCTGACAGTTTGCAGTCTGCCCATTCTTAGTACAACATACCCAGTGGATATACCAGGAGATTTATTTTAAGGAAATGAAGACTGCAATCTACAAAGGGAGCTGGGAGCTCATGTGGGAGGCAGAATTTCTACATCTTAGAAAACCTGAGTTCCTGTTGCAGGCTGTCACATGATTGGGGAGGTTCACCCAGACTCAGGCTGTGGAGAATGTTTCCTTGACTTAAAACCACAGACTGGGGCTGCTAATTCCACCACACATCTTCACAGCACACAGAATCATGTCTGATGAAGTGAATGGAAAACATAACCCGCCTGAGTTGATACAGAAAACAAACCCTCAAGGTTGGTTAATGGAAAAGATTATATCTAAAAGTAAAGTTTCAGCAAATTATGTTGTGCTGCTGACTTCCCACTCCTGCTTACAAACAAGAGAACCCCACCCTTCTGAGGGTGACTAGTGAGTGACACAGACATGATGGCTCAGGCCCCGGCTGGAGCAGTGTTGTCCCTGGTAGGCTTGTAGACTTTAGCTGCTACTACTGTGAGAATGCCTGCAGGAGTCATTAATGCAGTTGGACAGAGACGGAGACAAAGGGAGAGGGAGAGACATTGTACAAAAAGATATACTTGAGCCTGGGCATAAATAGAGCTTTTCTCCAAAATTGCAGGGAGTGAGGGATGCAAGGCTGCACAGGACAAAGCTTGCACTGCTGGCCCAAGGACAAGTGTGAAACAGTTGTGAAAGGTCAGAGTCGAGAAAGTCTGGGGGTACTACAGAGACACCAAATTCCATTTTGAGTTTTTGGGATGGGAGCAGTGTCCTCCTGGGGCTATCCCTGAGCAGTGGGGTATTTGCAGTGATTCAGTGGAGGTGTGGTCTGGAGTGGCTCCTCTCCACTCCCCACCCCAGGCTCACCAGGGGGAGAGGAGGAAGCCAGGAACTGGGCAGCCTCCAGGGGTAGGAGTTAAGATGCAGAGGGTGGGGACCAGAGTAGTGACATGGGGGTGACTGGGGAAGGGGCAATAAGAAGAAAGTCTGCTGGTTTGCAAAGTACACAGGAAGGGGGAGAGGAGAGGAGACAGAATGGACAAAGGGAATGTCTCCATAACAAGGAGGGATCTGCTCGTGCTGAAGCCTGAAGGAGCAGGTCATGGTGGAGGACCAGAGTAGATGGGCTTGTCTGCCCAAGGACCCAGAAAGATCCCAGGGGAAGGCCCTGGGGATCAGGACCAAAGGTGCCTTGAGGGGAGGCGTCCTCTGTTTTGGCACCTCTGTTCACCAAGGAGCCCTTGGCAAGGTTGGTGATGAGGGAATGAGCAACCAGTGGGGTCCTTAGAAGGGGTAGGCACCAGCCATGAAAAGGCCAGTCCTAATGGAAAGGGAGGCTCTGAGCTGGAGAAGAGAGGTGGTGGGTGGAAAACTAAAGAATGTGGAGATTCTGCTGGGCAGGACAGCCGGCCGCTATGGGGGACCAGACAGGCTGTGGGATCCCAGGTGGGGGCCCTGGAGCTGCTGTGACAAATATCCACAAAACTGGGGCTTCAACCCACAAAGATTCAGCCTCTTCTGGCTGGAGGCCAGAAGTCCAAACTCCAGAAGTCACAAGGCCACACTCTGAGGCTTCAGGTGAGGCTCCCCCACCTCTTCAAGGAGGTTCCGGGCTGGTGGCCACACCCTTGGGATCTGGCCAGCTGCGCTGCAGCACCCTTCCCTGTGTTTCTGTTTGCTCGTCCTGCCAGGGTCCTGCCATCAGAGCAGAGCCCACCTCCTCCAGTAACCTCCAGCTGATGCCTGAGGTCCTGGTGGCAGCGCTGAGGTGTGAGTGGAGTGTGATGCGGGAATAGCCATGGCTGCTGGACAGACCCCTCCCCACCCTCACACAGCGAAGAGGACCAAAGCCTCAAGGGCTACTCAGTGCCTCCATGTGGGGAGTCACAGGGACACATGCCCAGGGCCCCCTGGAGAGAACGTGTCCATGATAAACAGAGAACGTGGGAAGGGGGTGTCACCATTTGGGGCTTGACTACAGGGGGGTCTAGGCTGTGCCCTGACACCTGCCACCCCACCAGGCACTGACAACTGCTGACACTGAGGAAGTACACACTGTGCCAACCCCACGGTACAGGGGAGCAGCAGGTGCCCAGAGAGGTGGGGAGAGTTGCCCCAGTTCTCAGAGCAGGCTGGGGTGGGGCTTGACCTTGAGTTTAGCTGACTCTACAGTCCCAGCTTCCCTGCGCACTTCAGCTCACCCAGCAAAGCGCTTCACTGGACAAAGCTCCAGACACACTCAAGGTGAACAGGCTGGCGCTGGGTCCGGGGCTATTCTTGTTGGTCTCGGAGCCCCCTCCGCAGCACTGCCATTACCCCCAGGTTTCTACTCTCTCGGCAGAGTGCGGGGCACCTCGAGGGACAGCCCTGACAGTCAGCAGGATGTACTTGAGCTGGCACAGTTCCAAGGTGCTGTTGTATTTGCTTTTGTGCCATGTGCTATGCTGCTAACAATGAGCAGGCAGTGTCTGCTGCGCGGGGGAGCACAATAAAAATGGTGGTGAAAATGCATCCGATGTTCCTGTGGGCTGATGCCCTGCCCCCTCCATCCAACTGCAAGGCCCCAGAGCCACGGCCCCAGAGCCCAGGCCCCCAGGTTTACTCTGCACTTGCTTGCCCCTACCCCTGGGGAAGGGCGGTAGCCTCCCAGAGGAGGAGCCCCAGCTCCCAGCACCCATCAACAAGGCGGGCCCAGGGCTGCACCCCAGCCAACAGCTCTAAATCCAAATGGTGCCACCTCCAGGGCCCCCCAGTGCTGCCTGGCCCACAGCACCTCCATCTGACAAAGGGGGCTCTCTGGGACCCCCTGGTCAATACCGGGCAGCGCCAGGCCTTCTAGCCCCCTGGGTGGGCAGGGCTGGGAGAGGTTGCCAGGCTGCCAGTGAGGCTCCTCCCCCAGCTGCTGTGGGAGGTCACGTTGCCCAGCAACCAGGTGGCAGCGTCCCTGGAGCCCGCAGCTGCCTGCTTCTTCCCTACCTGGGAGACTCCTGGGGCCATGTCCTCAGTTCCCAAGCCCAGGACAGCGGCCATCCTGTCACAATGAATATTGTCCTCTCCAGGTGAGTGGCCCTGTGCTGGCCCCAGCTGGCACAGAGGGGGAACCTGGGGCTTTGGGGATGTGATACACCACATGGGGTGCAGACGGGGCAGCTGAGACTGCTGCGAGGGGCAGTGATTAGGGTGCTCTCCCACCCACACCTCAAACTTGGGGGAGGACAGGACTCCGGGCCAGGGAGGGTGGCAGATCTGGCATCTGTGCCCGCGGCCCTGTGGCCACCAGATTCAGAGTCTGTCCCTCCTCCCCCGATGGCCCCACCTGGAAACTCCCTCGCCGTGCCTCAAAACCCTGGAGGGCACCACCCCTCTGTGAGCCGTTCGGACCCCACTCTGTCCAGCCCCTTGAGGGGGGATGGGCGAGGGTCTGTGGGACCCTCTGGGCTTCCTACTCCTTCCTGTAACCCTCAGCTTGCTCCCTCCCCAAAGGGTCTATGAGTTTTTAAAAGCCTCAGGGTTCAGTAGAGGGAAAGGAGTCCCACCACTTGGGGAAAAGGCAGAGTGGGGAATTTGGGGGACTGGTGGGCTGATGGAGAACTCCTCTGAGCCCCAGGCCTCGCTCCAGAGTCAGCAGGGGAGGGCCGGGCTCGGAGGCTGAGGCTCATAGGTGCCCGCCGGTCTCCCGACCCTGCCCGCCCTGCCCCCCGATGCTGAGCGCCCTCAGGGCCCGGAGGAGGGCGAGGGGCAGGCGGCTTGGCCCCTGTCCTGCCCCTGAGCGGCCCCTTGTCCCCGCCTCCCCAGGGACAGCCAGGTGCGGGTGATGGAGGACACGGTGACCCACGCCGAGAGGTACTTCGGCCAGTTCTGCGCGCTGCTGGCCTCCTACACGCGCAAGACGGCCCGGCTGCGGGACAAGGCCGACAGGCTGGTCAAGCAGCTGCTGGACTTTGCCAACACTGAGAACCCTGAGATGCGGGCCGCCATGAAGAACTTCGCGGAGGACCTGGCCAAGGTGCAGGACTACCGGCAGGCCGAGGTGAGGGCCCGGGGAGCGGGCGGGACGGGCAAGCCCTGGGCCTGCTCCCATCCGTCAAGTGGGCACCGAGACGCACAGGCTAAAGGGAGGGCGAGTTACCCAGGGGAGGGAACTTAGCCAGGGGTTACCCCGGGGTGGGGGTAACCTCGCCTGGGACCTGTCAGAGTGCAGGTTCTTGGGCCCGGGTCTGAACCTACTCCTGGACTCACACGGGGGCGCGGGGCCTGGAGCACCTGGCAATGGGCTCTTTGAGGAGATGTCGGTGGGGTGGGGACGCTCCTTTACCTGCTGATCCAGATGGCGCTGGGTGCAGAGTGGGGACTTACTCAGTGTCAGCTTGGCTCATGTGCCTTGAGACTCAGTGGCCCCCGGGACCTCCCGCCCCCCAGCAGCTCTGGGTATACAGACAGAGTCAAGGCTGGGCTGCCTCCCCCATCTCTGGCTCGGCCGGTTCCCATTTTCTATGTGTCTGTGCCCCCAGGTGGAGAGACTGGAGACCAAGGTCGTCAACCCCCTGAAACTGTACGGGGCACAGATAAAGCAGACACGGGTGAGGGGGGCCGCATGGCAGGGTGGACAGTGAGGGGGCAGCAGGGCTTGTCCCTGGGAGTCAGTCTTTCCCTGGCCTGCAGGCAGAGATCAAGAAATTCAAACGTGTCCAGAATAACGAGATCAAACAGCTGGAAAAACTGGAGAAACTGAGGCATAAGTCACCTTCAGACAGACAAATGATTGTATCCTTCCGGGAAGTGGGCCTGGGCGGCGGGGATGAGGGTGGCCATTTGTCACAGAGCCCTTTGGGCCCCCAAAGGGATACTGTCCACCGGGCTCCTTAACAGCATGGTCTGCAGTCCCAGGTGAGTGCCACAGGTCGGCCTGACCCGCATGCAGGTAATGAAGCACCTCGCAAAGGGCGGTGAGGTGAGCTTGCCCCTGGGCAGGTGTGTGTGGACCAGGACAGGTGAGTGGGAGGTGTAGGGAGAGTGGGAGGCTGCGGGCCAGGGGTCCTGGTTCTGCCCCCTCTGGGTGCTAAGCAGCAGCTGGCCGAGCCACTCCCTCCAGGGCCGTTTCCTGCTGGGCTGCCTGTTCACTAGGTGGGCACTTCTGGAGGGGGCACCGAGGCTGAATAAGGTGACTTGCCCAAGGTCACACAGGAAGTTAAGTGGCAGAGTCGGAAGTCAGTGCCTGTAAGATCCAGGTCCTTCATGTGGGGCTTGGCGTGGGGTCAGCCTATCTGGGTCAATCACCCAAACACCATCCACACGTGGGATTAGTAATCACCAAAGGGGCAGAGCGGCTGGGCGCACAGTAGCTGTTTAACTCTCACAACAGCCCTGCAGAGCTGGTCTGCCTGTTGTCTCCAGGTTACAGGCAAGGCAGGTAAAGCTCAGAGACATTGAGAGACTTGTCCAAGGTCACATAGCCCAGAAGCAGGTTTGCCCAGGCGGTCCCTGCACCTTTAGTCAAGGTGCCACAAGGCCACACCTTTGATG